CGTAACGATGAACTAGCTAACCTCACATTGCGAGAAAAACTCCGCCAAACTCGAGAAATAGGATATTACTGACCCATGATTCCAGTCCCGTATTTTAATCAACAAAATTCTGCACATAATTTTTAAGGTCATGGTCAGGTTAAGGTTAAAGTTAAAAATAAAATTATATATAAATTTTCTTTAAAAATAGATATACAAAATTTATGCATCCTTATTGATTAATCAAGATAACTTGATAATATTGTTACAAATAGGTTTTTGTTATAACAAGAAAAAGACAATTTGTAATTAGAAATATTTATTATATAAAATGCTTCTTTATTATAATTAATTGTGTTGTAACTAATACTAAAATTTGATTAATACTGAAATTATTGCATTTTATTGGCTAATTAATTTTTTATTCTCTGATTTTATTAATCAATTTCAACATTAATCAGATTTTAGCTTAAGCCATCATAATTATTAATATTGATTATTAATATAAATAATACAAAAAGTTAAATTAATAAGCATTTAGATTTTATCTTCTTGATTACTAATTAAATACTTTAATAAATATAAAAATATAAATATTACAAAAAGTATTATTTATTTATGTATTATTATTATTTTCAAAGTTATTGCTTATGATAATATTTCTAAAACATAATGAATAACTGTATTTATATAAAAGATAGAACTACTGAATTATTAAAGATTATAATTTAAATATCAAATATTAAATAATGAGATTGAACAAAAAATTAGTGAAAATAAATACAATAACTATCAAAACTTTTCCAAAGTATTAAACAATAATAATTATATAAAAATATAATACAAAAATAATTATAAATACTATCTTTTCTTTCTTAGATCAGCAATGTGAAAATTAAAATAACATAATATCTTCTTGGTATTTTTCAAATAATCAAACTACAATAATGCAAATAACAATAATAATATAAATAAATAATAATTTCTTATTAAGGTAATATAATTAAAAAATCAAAATATTTATAATCAAATATTATTAAAGAATATTAAAATAAGATATAAATTAATAATAATTTTAAATTAAAATACATGTTATTTATATATTTGTTTTTATTTTTATTTTTATTTCAAAAGAATTAATTAAAATCTAATATATTTTCATATATTATAAATAATATAATATTATTTTAATTTATCAAGTATTACATATTTAAATCTGATGTCAACATATACTAAAATACTATTAGTATTCCTTTGTTATTATATAATAAAATCAATTAAATACAAAATAAAATTAATATAATACAAGATAATATTAATATATTATCACATGTTCTTTTTTATCTTTAGCTTTTTGAGATAGTATTGCATCTAATTCAAAGCTAGAAGTGTTAATATATAATATAAAAGTTCAAATAGATGAAAATTGGTGCTAAAATCAATCTACTTTTTAATTTTTCAAATATTTCTTGGTGTTTTGTTATTCAGATAAAAGATTGATATCTTTTTATTAATTGGCAAACTTCTTAATTCTATCAGATTTGTTTGATATTAGAAATTGTTTTATAATTACTATTTAGCTGAATTTGGTTGAATTCCATTTTTGCTAATAATATGTTCAAGAAAGTTGAGTGTTGATTTTTCAAAGTGACATTTTTTTGAATGTAACTTTAGTTCACTTTTTCTAATTTTATTAAATACTTTGCTTATATAAATTAGATATTTTTCAAAAGTATTAGAAAATATATTGGTGTTATCCAAATATATTACTACAAATTTGTTGATATGTGGCTTATAGATTTTCTTCATCAACCTTTGAAATGTTGTTGGTCTATTGGTAAGTCCAAAATCCACCCCCAATAGCAGAAATTTTTAGTTTTACTAGTAGCCCGATCACTTGTATATCCCAGTTCTCTTCTGTCACATTTATTTTTCCCAATATTTCATGCTACAGAATAAAAAAGAATTACATGCAAAATAGAATGATAATTGGTATTAAAATTGAATTAATTAAAGGGCGTCGCAACCTGCGATAACTAGACTGTCATTCTTCTGTATCGTATCTTAGCCACTAGATATATCACAGTTTTCTGGTTTCCAAAGTAATTCATTAGGTCACAATCGGTGTAATATATATGACAGTGATTACCGTGTATAAGCCATGTATTTTATACTAAGTATTACATATTTATATGTAAACATTTATTTGTCAAAAGTTGCTTATGGTATTCGCGACAATAAGTTCATAACTGCCGAAACAGTTTACTGTCGCGGATGAGAATATCAAAGCGCCGACACCTGTTAACTTTGTTCTTTTTTATGGTCGTGAGAGTTGGTGCAGTTAAAATTTGACGTGACGGTTGCTTTGTCGTTTCATATAATTCTAATATCTATAATTTTGACCATAAAAGTATTATGTAAATTATAGAAGAACGAGATCAGAAAAAAATATGCCAAAAGTTTGTATTTTTTTTTATGATCGATAAAAATAGCGCTTCTTGGATTCGACAACGATGCGGTAGGAAAGGTCTTGACGAATCTTTGCAAGCAAATACTTGAATTCAACCTGGAAGGTGTATTCGGTCGGTTCGCCACTGAAATTTCTAGCCTCATCAACAAAGAAATGGGGTGCCAGATGCTACATGGAACGTACTATTTGGAGATCTATCCCGAGAAACTTCATCGCTGATATATAAATAACCACATAGCCAATCTTCCTTGACAACGCCTCCAGTTATGTTATGCAACGTTGCAGCTGAATAAATATTAAGAGAATATGCCTTTACATACCCTGGCCGCGCGTGATGGTCACACGGACAATTTTTCCGCGGCGTATATGAGCGAACACGACAGTAAGTTGTGCAGAGAATAATATGAATAGTTTTGCTAACCTCGCAGTTCGTTAACTTTATTCACATAGACAAAGTGAGCCAAAACAAATGTATTAATGGCGCTTTGTTGTGATCATGCGGAAAACTCTCGTGGCACCAGATTCACTTTGTCCGACATATATATATCTGATAATGTGCAGAACAAACAAATGGATAATTTCTCGCTATCGTTATTAGATAATACATGTAACATTAAAAACTTATTTTATTCCTAATTCAATATTCTACATACACAAAATCCAATATATAATTCTAATATACATTATTATTATGATTGATAAGCACCGATTGATTGTAAAGTAGCAATAATTTCTTCTGCGGCTACTTCATCATTATATAACGACTCCCAAGAAACGGCAACATTCCCGTACATAGCAGGAGCAGCAAGTGCAGTGACACCGGCCGGGAACAAAAATGGCAACAAGATGACAGCAACCAAAGAAACAGTAGTACCAATTACCAAGACTGGATGCTCGGCGATAAACTTTTTCGTATCTGCCAAAATCTCCAAAAATGCATTTTTTGTCGATTGTTTCGAGTATTGAAAACGACCTGGTGATGATTTACTTCTTTCATGGAATGCGTGAACAATACGAGTAACATCTGCGTGGGGCTGATATTGTGTCAAGTCCAATGTGTAAACTCGCTCAGATGGATGTTCGAGTCTGCCTGTATTATCCCCATTATGGTATGTCATTGCTAATTCTTGAGTTAGAGCTCTTGCCCCATCAAATGTTGTGAATTTTACGATGGGCGTTGACGATGATACAGATGACACCGATGATGATGATGATGTGGACGACAAATTTCTTTCACTGTAATCTAATTGAAGACGAAATTCAAAGTATTGTGTGATAGGAAATGGTTGGACTACACGAAATACTTGTAAGAATGTTTGTACTGATTTTGGGTCATTTAGTACCGCACGACCAATATGAAAAATTAGACGATTTTCGACGAGTTTTATGGTAAAGTATCGATTGAAAGCGACTTGAGTCGTGGTGTGATTCCCTGTGTTTGGTGGAAGATGTCCATTACGAATAAATGCATCCAGTAAAGCTACTTCGAATAATTCAACGTCCGATAATTGTACCATTTTAGTCTATTTTTTATCGTATATTGTCAAGAGATAAAAGAGATGATGAAATGGGGGAGAAAGAGCAAAATGTAATTCCTCATCACTAAAAAAACTACCTATATATTCTCTATTCACACAGGCATCATGTACATGAATGTATAATACTGGACAGACACATGAATTGACATCATCATTATATTGTCACTTTAATATACTGTACTTATTACTTTACTTTTAAAGTATTTACTAAAATACTTCATGAAAGCGAGACAATAACTTTAAATAATAGGGATAAAATTAATACTTACGATAATGATAATTAGTGATAATTTTAATGATAACGATAAAGTTGCGTTAAAGCGGAGTAGATAGACCAATCCAATTGCAAAGATCAGGTGTAACATGCAAACTTGACCAATGCAATCGTGAAATCATGAGAAACACGCAAAATTTTACTATAACAACTAGCTTTCAACCTCTAAGTAAGAATGCTCAGCACGAAATTTTAGGTTGATCTTTGAAGCTAGCACCTTATCTAACAAAATTTCTAATAAAATTTCTAATGAACTTGATAATTAGTAAAACTACTCTACAACTAACACGTGCAAATTATATAACGATAATAATATAAAATAAATTGTTGCCATTCCATTCATCGAGAACAATGAAATGCACGAAGCGTGTCTCGTGTCTGCGTACACACATCACGTATACACTTTTTCCTTTTATTCTTTACTACGTATACATATTAACAAAGTTCCTTTTATTCTTAACTATGCATGCATATTAACAAAGTTCTTTTTATTCTTTATTATGCATATTAACGTTAACAAAGTTTCAGATAAAATTGCTATACTAAAACGGTAAAGTTCCAATGCCTATAGCTAGTAGGTTCCCCTTATGAACGGGTCTTTGACCATTATAAGAAGTCATGTACCAAAAAATGTTCCAAATTGTTTACGTTTATCAAACTAACGAAATTGGGCTGATTGATTCAAAATGATTTAAACTTGGCCCATTTTGGTTGCCAACTCGCGATGGGTATGGTCGCGTGATGTCGACGATAATAATGCCAATGATGCTCAAAATGGAAAAAAACATGGGAGGAATATCAACTGTGGGTGTAGATATTACTCCAGAAGTGGGAATATTTAATGTTAGCTAATAATTTCATAAACAGCCATCATCTCTAACCATTTTTCACACTTGTTTGAGCATGAATAAATACAATATTTTTTGTGGGGGATCATGATGAAAAACGGATTATGGTGAAAATTTGCAATATCTATTATAATAAACTATGAATAACAATT